TAATAATAATAATAATAATAATAATAATAATAATAATAATAATAATAATAATAATAATAATAATAATAATAATAGAGTGCTAAGGTTTGTGAATTCCGAATTATTTGTTATGCTTAAGGCCAATTTTGGATTTCGAGTTTGGAGATTTTTACAATTACATTGACACTAATATGAATAAAATAATATTAAATATTGTTTGATCCACAAAATAGTAGTGTGTATTTATAGAAATTAGCAATTAACAACGATACGTTCATATGGTACAAATCTAACATATGCTTTAACAGCTTCAACATCATTTTTAAAATCCTTATTCAAACACCATACATTCAAGTAATTCGAGGTTTTGTTTCGTTTGCAGAATTCAATTAGAGCTTTAGTATTTTTCTCCCTATAAAGGTGATTAATTAACAGACTTATTAAAGGCACATTGCAATGATTGAACAAAATATCTACATATAGCTCTGGCCAATTGCTATTATCTAAGTTAAGATATTGCAATTTTAATGGCAATATTTCTGCTAACTGTTTAACTTGTTCTTTTTCCGGTACGTTAACAATGTGTCGTAAGGTGAGAAATTGAAGCCCTTGTAAATTACCAAGAAGCTCTATGAGTTGCATGGTAAGCCCAATAATTGAAAGATTAAGATATGTAATATTTGGACAGAACGACTTAAGTGCTCCTAGTAAAGATTCTTCCCAAATTTCAACATCTGCTGGTTTAAACTTTAATCGTTGTAGTAATATGCCGGATTCTTCTAAAATTTGTACTATAGTCGATGCATCAATCGAACAATTATCTAACTCTAAAGTGCTGACTTTATAATTTAATTTTTTCAAAAATTCACCATTTCTGCAATTCCTAATACGAAGAATTTCTAAATTTTTACAATTTTTCAGTACTTCGAGCTCATCACTACAATTACAACGTTCTATTATAACTTCTTGTAAAGAATTTTTTTGAAACTCTAAAGCTGAAATTGCGCCGTAGAATTTTTTATGAAATTTGAAGCCAGATAATTTAAATTTCTTAAGTTGTTCTTGCGATTTAATAACACGTATAAGAGTATGAAATAATTGTGGGTTATACTCATCCCAAAATCCGTCAATTTCCAAAGTATTAATTTTCATAGCATTTTTTGCCAAGATTTTTAATAATGGAATAGTAAATTTAATAATGTTTCGATTTGGTAGTTTTCTCAAATATAAATCGTGAAGTCGTGAGAAAAATTGTTTATTTTCTCTTAATGATGAAAATATCTCTGATTTAATTTTAAAATAGTGAGAAAATTCCAAATCTAATTTATGCAAAACGGCGCCACTTTCGATAAATAATTTAAGTAATAAATTAATTATGCGGTTTATCGGTATGTCGCAATTTGCTTCTGAACTCAGCGAGTCGTAATCTAATTCAGAATTCTGTGAATCGTAATCTACTTCCAAACTTTGTGTGTCATAATCAAATTCAGGCTCTGTAAAATAACCTTCTACATCCGAAAACTGAGATCCATAACCTAGCTCAAAGTTATACCACCTATTAACCTCATATTTTAGACTATATAGATCAAGAACTTTTAAGAAACTTGCATAATCAAATAAAGTTTCAGATAATTCAGCGTTTATTCCACATTCTTCTAAACTGAGTTTTTCGTCCTCATTAAGAAATGAAACATATTGAGAAATGAATGATGGGCTTCGATTGATTGAAAATGGATTTTGCCAAAGAATAGGAATTGCTATTTTACACCAATGTCGATTCACAAGTGCGCACGAGTATAAGGATTCAGAATCATAATTTAAATTATTGAGAATAATTTCCATTAATTCGGGTATATCGCCCGTAAATATTTTTGAAGACATAAGTTTTATTAATCAGAATAGAGAGATGCTTTAGAAAGATGCTAAATCCGTCATTGTTATGCATCATAAGCCCCTTAAATAGGGAAATGCACCAATCAGAAAATATGATTAATAAGGTAGCTGTGTGACACTATCATGCAAAACAAGGTCGATCATATAATTTTGTACGTACGTACGTACGCACATAAGTATGCGGGCAGGATTTGATAAAATTAATTCAATCATTTAAGTGATATTGCGTATAAAAATAGAAAAAATTGAATTATGAAATTTTAATGCTATAAATTGCTTATGAAACACTTATCGAATATATTAAGGCTCAAAGTTGAATAGTTGGCGAACATAATACCCATTTCGACTAATTGTTCTCCCTGCATTAAAATAAAACAGTTATGAGTAACCTTAATTAATCAGTTAAACGGTTCAGACTTAATGATGTAAACTTAATTAAATTGAATTTGCACTAAATCGAAATTAATAGGGAATTTACCGGGCCTGAAAAGTGAAATAATTACGGATAAGGGCCCAAATTAAAAATAATTACATATAAGGACCTGATTTTTGAAAAATATTACATTCAAGTCTGTGGCTTGGCTTGATCGTCATCATTAATAAGTTTGCATTATCAGGCGCATAAGAAATGTAATCATTGATAAATGTAATAATAGATTGTAAATTAGTAATCATAAATCATAAATAAGAAGTGTCTTTGATTTCGTAAATACAATAAATTTTATTTATTTATAAAATTGCTTATCGTTATAACAAACCATGACACTAAAACTTGGAATGACATTCACCGATATGAAAAGTGTTCGCTCAGCTCTAGAGAGTTATTCTGTTGAAACATTTTCGCTTTACAAGTTCAGGACTAATAAACCCAACAAACAATTTGTTGTTTGTGTTTCTGCTAACAAACGTAAAGATGGTTTTATTCATATCATAAGGCTAATTAATCATGATCAAAATTGTCCAGCTCTTTCGGAAATGTTCAAAGCCTAACGCAAAATTATGCTAGTTTGAACATTATCCTTTATATAGTATTTAAAAGAAAGTAATTATAACTATATAGTGCTTATTTATCTATATATAATATAATAAATGAGTGCCTTTGCGGCACGGTAATCTCGTGATCACGTTTTTCAACTATTGATATATTTGGGTCCCTATATGTAATATTTTTCAAAAATCAGGCCCTTATTTTTAATTTGGGCCCTTATCCGTACAGTCATACCTAATTTATATCACCCCTTTTTTCCAGAGCATTTTTGGTGATATAACTAAGGTGGGGATATAACTCAATATATAAACTATATAAAAAAAGGAAATCTATTCTTCTAAAAAATGGTGATATAACTCAGGTTGGGATATAACCCAGTGGGGATATAACTCAGGTATGACTGTAATTATTTTCACTTTTCAGGCCCTTATTTGTAAATTCCCCAAATTAATACCATTTTTGCATATTTAGTTACTCGAATCATCGTAAAAATCGAATTAATTTATGTATTATTTAGCTAAAATAGTTTACATATTGACATCGATCCATAATTATTACTTTATTATTATCGACATTAGCAGCGATTTATTGTGTTACTTTATAAATCCTTTCTATGCTAATTCTTTCTATATTAATTTTCATATCATATACTTAATTACTGATAAACCTTTTACTAATCTTATCATAAATCAAATCCATTATTCATTCCAACGACTGACTTATCTTTGATTCGAGTTTTTGTTTTCATATCTTTAGGAATTTCTGTTCAATTATTCACAAGATGAGTTTTCTTTTCTGCAGGAGTCTATAATACCAATGTTTTAAACGGGCCTACCGAATAATTGATTGTGTGATGGTTGTTGATTGTAATTTTTTGATCTCAATTAATTAATTGGGCGCAATCGCAATTAGTAAATTAATTGCAATTTTTGCTGTGATGCAAATGTGATAAAAGAGACATCAGAAATTGTAATTATATAAAATTTTAATAATAAAAATATACGTAATTACACAAAGAAATCAGATAATCAAGCGATTTATTTTATTATTTTATTTTACGCTTTAATAACCTGATGAAATTTACAAATTGTGCCACATGACTAATAGAGGCCTTTTTTAGACCTGCAAACGACGGTAAGTATTAGGAATGCATCGGTCCGGTCCAGTCCAGTCCGTCCTCGGTTCCTAAACGGCCCTCTTAATGACTTATTGGTCAAAAATGACGTCAAATGTAAACAAACATTATTTGTTATATGATCTGTGTTATACCTGATCAAGCAATTTGATTGGTGAATACGAATATCATGGTTTGTTTACAAGAACCGGTCCTTTCAATGGCCCCACGGTCCTTATCGGTCCCGGCCGGTCTTTTTAAGGACCGAGTGCATCCCTAGTAAGTATCCATGTAGTTTACTGTCACGGTCAATATCGGTTCGACAAAGATAAATATTCTAGATACATTGTGCGTGGAGTCATGTTGGAGGAATATTGAAGTTGAAAGGAACGTTGTGACAGTAAAAAAAAAAAAAAATAATAAATATGTGCTTGTCGCGTTTGGAAAGTTTCGCGTATGGGACTGTGATCTCGTGATCACGTGTATGATCGATTGAATCACAGGGAATTAATGATCGGAAATTAAGTATGCTCATGAAATAATGAGGTAATTGAGTATAGTCAAAAGATCGTATGATCGATTTTTGAGGTAATTGAGAATAGTCAAAACACCGTATGGTCAATTATGATGCATTAAAATTAAGGAAAAGGCAAAGAAATGTATGAGAACGTAATTAATATGTAGACTAATCAAATGTATATAAGATCGTTAAGAGAAAATAAAATAAAGTTTACCTTTCGCTTTAATAAAGAAATACATATTGAAAAACGTGAAAATCCACTTTGGTTTGAGCAAGTGGTGAGTTGCCTTGTTTCGCCGGTATAAACCCACATAGTCAGTGAGGGCTACGACATTTACGTCCTCTTGAATTTAGGAATCACGACCGATAATGGAACAGATTATGATTTAATGAATCATTTAAACGCAAAACATGAAAGCTTCGTTAATATTACTTCAACAGTAGGCTCTGAGATGTAAATGTAGTTAATATTTTTAACCGGATGAGCCTTATCATAAAATGACAATTAAAACTTATATCTTAACAAAGTTCATAAAAACAAAATTGCAATTATTATGTCATTAATTGAATTTATGATAATTTTATCATACTTGTTACAGTCAGACCTCCTTAAGTGCTTCCCTTCGGGACCATAGGAGAAAAATTGAAAAGTGTGCACTTAGAGAGAGTTTGCATAATCAGTGTATTTAGGGAAGTGCACTTAGAGAGGTCTGACTATAATTGTTTATTTATAATTTTTAGCAGCGCTGGTTTTAAGCAATAATAACAAATTGCATTACAATCATTGTTACTTGTTACGTAATAATCGCAAAATTTTGCACGTCCGTAATCAGTGACAGGTTAAGCCACTGATTTCAATCACTGTCCGACTATGCCTTAAATCATGATAAAAAAGCTATTGTATTTAGAAAATAGAAAAGGCTTATTATTACGAGTTAAAGTTGCATATATAAAAAACGATTTGATCATATTTGGTTATTTATTTTTTACGATTTTATAAATTAATTTTTTTTATCCAACATAAGTGTACCCTATCGACTTCAAAAAGACTTAAAAGAGATCCAATTTTTTTAATAAAGTTTATAAAAAAATTTTTGAATATATATATTTTTTTAAAAAAACTTATAAAGTAGAATTAAGAAAATGGAAGAGAACGATATTTATGCATCACTTCATTTTTAGTTATTAATTTAAACTGTCAAAATATTAGGTCAACATTACGAACTGTAGTAGTTAAATTTAAAGATCAGTATAATGTAACAAAAATAAAATCTAAATATTTTTTTTTATGAAAAAAATGAGTTCACAAATAAATGATGAGAGTTTAGCTCTTTGAGTTATCTTCATTCGAAAAAGGTAGAGTTACGTGAAAAAAAGTATGGTTAAAGAAATCCCTAACTTAATTATTTCGTACGTTTTTGAGATATGGGCATCCCCTGGCGATTTAACATGTGGCAAATAAGCAATATCCTTTAATTTGCAAAAGTAATTCAATATTTAATTTAATATTATGCGGTCTTTAATAATTATAAAACTATAATGTTTTTGTAAATTATTTTAGCATCTAAATTTAATTATCGCTCTTTTCAATCACCAAATTATTGACGATCACATGGAAATCCTCAAAATTTCCTAATTTTAGGCTTTTTTGTGAATAAATCTAAATTTCTTGCTAACAAATAAAAATCCCAAAAAATTCCTCTTCTATTTTCGTTTTTTAAATGCTTCATCAAGTAATATACAAGAGCTGGTTGTTTGTGCAGCTAAATAATATGGAAAATTTCGAGCCTTTTCTTGTATCATATTTCTTGATTTTTTTTTTAAACTTTGAACGAAGATATCTTGACAACCACCAAGTCAAATTTGATGGACTTTTTCTTATTTAAATTCTACAAACCAGTAGAATTAAATAAATAAAACTTTATTAAATTTAGCTTGGTCGCTGTTGAGATATTTTCTTTCAATGTTTTAAAAATTTCTCAAATAAAAGTTGCGTCAAAATTTTTTCAAACTTTAAACGAAGATATACTTTTTTTTTATGGATCTGTAAAATTCAAATAAAAAAACGTTTATCAAATTTGGTTTGATAGTTGTCAAGATATCTTCAGTCAAAGTTTTAAAAAATTCACAGTCAACTTTAAATAAAGATATCTCATAACCATTTTTTATTTGAATTCTATGAACATGTAAAATTCAAAAAAAAAAAAAAAACAACGAATTTGGCTTGGTGGTTGTCGAGATATCTTCGCTCAAAGGTTTTAAAAAATTCAACATCTAACAAATAAAATTTCCTCAAACTTTGAGCAAAAATATCTCGATAACCGCCAAGTCAGATTCGATGAATTAATTTATTTGAATTTTACAGATTTATAAAATTCAAATAAAAAGAGTGACCGATTTGGCTTGGTTATCTTCGCTTAAAAAACCCAAACCGCCCATAAAACAGAAGCTGCGCCATAATTTCTCATAATTTGAGTGGAGATATCTCATAAAATACTAATCAAATTTGATAATTTTTTTATTTGAATTCTATCTCTCCCCAAATTCAAATAAAAAAAAATCATCAAATTTAAACTTTGAACGAATATATCTCGACAACTATCAATCATATTTTGATGATTTTTTTTTTTATTTGAATTCTACAGATATAGAATTCAAATAAAAAAGAAAAGTTCAAAATTGTCAAAATATATTCGTACAAAGTTCGAGAAAAATTCCATTGAATTTTTTTAACTTTGAGCGAAGGTTTCTTGACAACCACCAGGCCAAATTAATGAAATTTTTTTTATTTGAATTCCCCGAATCAGTAGGATTCAAATAAAAAAAAAAAAGTTCGTTAGATTTTGCCTGGTGGTTGTCGCTCAAATTTTAAAAAAGGTTAGAGATTTCCTACGAAATTTGATGATCACAATAAAGTGAAAAGAGAGAGAAATTCACATCACTACTTATACACCCATGTACGTACATAATAAATTCAATGTTAAAATGATATATAATCTTGCTGATAAAGTCCTAAAGCTAGTAAGTTGCTAATGATTTAAGTTTAGGACTCTCATTTGAGATTGGGTCGATTTTATTTAAATTTTGATTTTTACAGTTTGATCGGCTTAACTACATTGACAATAGTAAATAGAAAATAGCATAATATTGTTGGTCTATGGATAAATGAATTACAAAAATTAGCAATTAATAACAATACTTTCATATGATACCAGATTAACATATGCATTCACTTTTTTTCTAAAATATTCATTCAACTTCCGTACACTCAGGTAACTCAAAGATTTGTTTCGTACGCAGAATTCGATTAACGCTTTAGTATTTTTCTCGTTATCAAGTTGATGAATTAACAGTTTTTTTAAAGGTGCATTACAATTATCGAGCAAAATATCTATATATGGGTCAAGAAAATTAAAATAATATAGGTTAAGATATTGCAATGTTAACGGCAATATTTCTGCTAATTTCTTAACCCATATTTTCACTTCTTGTGGTGTGTCTTTAGTGTAGCAATATAACGAGAGAAACTGAAGTTTTTGTAAATTACCAATAAGCTCTACGAGCTGTTTGGAAAACACAATATTAATAAGGTTGAGGTATGTAATATTTGGACAAAAGAACTTAAGTGCTTCTATCAACAACGGTTCTTCCTCAATTTTTGAAAAATCTTCTATTACAAATCTTAATTGTTGTAGTAATACGCCAGACTTTTCGAAAATTAATGCTACATCCTGTATACTTTGTACATTGCCCAAGTAAACACCCATCTCTAAAGTACTGATATTATTATACTCTAATATATTTAACGGTATCATATAGTCGCAATTCCTAATACGAAGTGTTTCTAGATTTTTACAATTTTTTAGTACCTCAAACTCTGCGCTAAAAGCACAATTTTCTATTATAACTTCTTGTAATGAATCTTTTTGACTCTCTAAAGCTGAAATGATGCCGTGGAATTTGTTTTTTTTAAGATTAAATATTGTTGCAACTAATTGAAACAGCCTAAGTTGCTCTTGTGATTTAATAATGTATATAAGAGCGTGAATGAATGGTAATTGATCGAAATAATTACATTCATAAACTTCCAAAGCACTAATTTTCGTAGCATTTTTTCCCAATGTCCTTAATAATGTAGTAGCGCTTTCAATTTTAATGGTTAATGTTACTCCCAAAGATAGACGTTGGAGTCGTGAGAAAAATAGTTCACTCTGTTCTAATGAGCAAAAGATCTCTGGCTTTGATTTAAGAGAATAAGTAAAACATAAATCTAATTTAATTAAAGTGGCTCCACTTTCAATAAATAATTTAACCAGTAATCTAATTACAGAAAACATCAATGTGTCGTAATATGGGTGTGGTTTAACACATTTGAGATCGGTCCATTTTTTAACCATACGTTCCAAATGATATAGATTAAAAACCTTTAAAAATCTTGCATAATCAAATAACGATTTAGGAAATTCTGCATTTATTCCACATTTTCTAAAGATGGATTTTTCGTTCTCATCAAGAGATGAAAAATATTGAGAAATGAACAATGGGCTTCGATTGATTGAAAATGGATCTTGCCAAAGAATAAGTATTGCCATTTTGCATAAATGTCGGTTCACAAGTACGCACGAGTATAAAGAATTAATTTCATCATATAAATTATAAAGAATTTTCTCCGTTAATTCGGGCATATCGCCCATAAATATTTTTAATGCCATAAGTTAGTTTTGTGTTAATTTAAATAGAAAGATGCTTTTAGGAAAGATTTAAAAATCTGTTACTACTATGCAACATGGCCTATAAATAGTAGAAACGCAACTATTAGATAATCCATAGTGCACAGACGGTACTGTACAACGGTTACTGTAGTACGTACTTCTTAAAATGTAAATTTTAAATAAGCATCGAAAAGTATTGCGTTACACAACACATTTATAGATTAAACCGACAGACGACTTGGCCCGTGGTGATTTATTTATTGAGAGTTTGGCAAAACACGATTAAGAAGCCGAGTTGGCCAGAGCGGTGTCACGACAAAAATTTTAGTATACTAATTTAATCATTTTCCCGTTACTTCATAATTAGTAGATGACTATATTATGATTATCAGATGACTATATTTTCCGGATAGCGATTACTACATTCCTGCACAGTGAATTCCCATTACCATGTTTCTTGTAAATAGTCGTATATCTCACCTCATTCTTGGTAATCGGGTAGTTCTAGGTGGAAGTATATAAAAGGATCGCTATATGTAAAAAGAAGGAAGAATATAGAACACACATAACTCTTGTATATAATAAACATAATATTCGCTCTTCCAATAATATAAAAATTACATTCTTTTAATACAGTATCCTAATGTTCAATGCTTAAAGCTAAATTGCTAACGAAGTACAAAAGTCTCTTCCCAAGCCGTGACATTTTGGTGTCCGTTGTGTGGAGTAATCGTTTTATCTCTGCGCCTTCTTACATTAAAGAGTATAATTAAAGGGTAATTATGTGGGAAAACATGCTGAAGCCGATAAATAATGGCGAAATGATTAATGAAAACAGGAGCTTTTGCAACAATAATTATGGTTTAGTAAATGAGAATCAACCCAGTGATCTGCAATGACTACTCTGAGGGGTGACAAATATTTTGGTCCAATCACAAAATCTCAGACGAATTTGGAAAAATAAACTTTTGTGAAGATCCTGACATATGCAGGAGGAAATCAGGAACCGGTTAAATGGCTAGAATCAGTTAGCAGTGCTTTTGAGATGAATAGAATTGTGGGCAAGAAAGCTGGCTGTTGCAAGTGTCAGTTTGACAGGCCTCGCTGCATTTTGGTAGGAAGATTGAAAAAAAGTAGGACAAAGGGTTCTGTACTGGGATAATGGGTGTGTTCCAAGACCAAAGTTTTGTACACCAGTTCCTTTTGAATTTTTGTACCCCAGTCATGATGTTCCGGTGAAACATAGAGTTAATAACTCAAAGGCAAGGTTCCTTAGGAATGGTGAATCAATATGTTGCCAATATGTTGGTATTGTTATATGCTGAGAGTTTGAAACCAATACTCTGAGAGTATGAAGATAGAAATGCTTGTGCAAGGTTTCTGTCCAGACTTGTTGTTGACTGTTTGACTATACATGCCGACGAAATTATTTTGGGTTTTGGGACCCGAAATTAAAAAATTTTCCCGAAATTGTTTTTGACCTATTTTACTTAAAACCCGAAATTTTTTGATAATTTTTTGAATAGACCAAAATATAAGGAACATAAATATATAAATTTTATTTGCACTTCCTTATAAAAAACTTTAATTTATTTTTGAAAACCCAAAATAGGCTTTTTTTAAAAATTAATTTCAGTGGCATGTATATGTTTAACCATTTATGCCAAGCTAAAGAAAGGGTCTGGGTATGTAAAATAACAATTGTAAATAATATAGTTGTGTGTGGCCTCACTGTAGTCTATGATACAGTAATGAATGTAGTAGTAGCCCTTCACAGTTGCCCCAAGTAGTGTCTTCTTAGACACTACAAGTAACAATTCTGTGTTTCTAATAGTGGAACAAGTGGTCTTTTTATTGAAGAGGTTGTTTTTGCTATGACAAGTAATGATAGTAATGAAAGTAATTGTTTTCACCCTCTACCTGATAAAAGTAAGCAAAAAGGAGTAAACACTCTTTAGATAAAGTTAGGCTCCAAAGTGAAACAAATAGTTATGTGAACAAGAATGAAAGTAAAATGAAAAGGAAATGAAGCCCAATGATTCTCCAGTTAGAAGATAAAAGTTTGAAGAAAACCTCAATAAAGAAGTCATGAAAACAAGAAATTAAGAAGTCTAAGGAAGGCAATACAAAGGTTTAGGCAGAAGAGTAGATATTCATTGCAACAGTAGTGATAATCATAAAGAATTTAAATAGATAAATGTTAAATAATAAATAGCCCAGAGGATCTGTTAAATGATATCTGAAACTTATTTAATAGCTACCAAGATAGGATTGAAATTATAAAAAAAGAATATAAAATAGCAAATAATAATAACATATCAGTATTTACTTTTTTTAGAATTTTTTATTTTTATCAAAATGAAATCAATGTTAAAAAGAAAGGATAAAAGGCATCTATTAGCTATCAAAAATCTAAAAAGGATGACTATGAATATAAAGTATATAATCTCAGCTATCATTATTGAAATAGAATAAGAACTAAACAGAGTAAATAAAGGCTTTTATTAAATATCAAAATCTTATAAATAAAAATTATATTGGTTGGACCAAAAGAAAAGTTAAGCCAAAAGTAACAAATATTGCTAGTAAAGTAGTTGTGAAAGAACAATGAGATGATAATAGAAATGACAAAGTAGTGTTCAACTATGGAAAAATAACTGAATCATATAATAAAAAGAATAAAAATCAGGTATTTATTAATAATCAAAAATCATCAAAAATGGGCTCTACTAAAAAAATAAATAAACTTGGTTGTAGTTGCCAAAATGTAATTATTGTCAAAAAATACAAATTCAAGATATTTGTTAACTATCAAAAGCCTGTTGATATAGAACATGCTAGTACAATATGGAATCTTAAATATTTCTATCAAGTAGATGAAAATATAATAGTAAAGCATTAGCTGACTATCTAAACATAGATTGTATTAATAAAAATAATAACTCTGGGTACTGTGATGAGAATAGAATAAGTGTTAAAAAAAATAGAATTGAAATTAGAATAGATAAGTAGATAAGAGTTACTTTACTTTGCTATTTAGGTTTTTTGTAGATAATTTTGAAAACTAAGGCATTGAGGCAATTCTGAATCTTTGTTCTCATTATCTCTTTAATCATTTTAGTATAGTACTAGTACTCATGCAGCATCTTTTATTTATAGGCATTACTAATACTATGTGTAAAGTGTGAGCCTATAGAATTATTATATTATAATTCTTTTCAAAAATTATTTAAAATTTGATAGCACTAGATCTCAACACTTGAAATCCCAAAAGAACAATATTCTGAGATTTATTAATCCAAAAACTAAATTTTAGAAAAAAAATTCAGAAGAATTACATTTCTATAAATATATCAAGAATTTTTTTTTTTTTTTTTTTTAAAGGGGACCTCTTTGGCCTGGAAACGTTTTATTAGGATGTAAATGGAGTTTTATAATGTAGTTACAATGATGGTACATCAAGCCACACATGCACCTTTTGAGTGCCTAATTTAAGTAGTCCGTCTGAAGGTTTTACACTATCTGCCATACCTGCATCCCAACTAGGGGGTACCCATTTAAACCATCTGGTTCCAACTACCTCCATCATAACCCTAACCCATAGGTATTACTCACCATATGGTTGTGGATTTTGCATCTACCCATAGGAATTTGCACCCTATCTTAGGACTTACTAACTTAAGCTAATCTATTCTCAAGGTAAACCTAACAGAGCGGTACATGTCCCACACATGTATTCACCTGC